ATAAAACACAGTTTAGATTATTTGTCATCATTATTGATGAACCCTTGTCAGTTGTTGGCTTCACCCAATCAAAAACCATGACTACTATTTAATGAATTATCTATTTTGAGGTACCCGTGCAAGTGTCGTAATTTCGTAGTATCATATTAATTCGGAAGTAAATTAATACAAACAAGGAAACGGAATTCAATTTACAAGGAATCAATAAAGCGATTAAGGTCATTCAAAGAAATTTTTAAATTATTGTAATGCAAATATGATGACTACCAGACGTCGGACGAGGATAGAGAAATAAAAATAATAATAATACCATATAGGTATCTAGTGAAACTTGTTTTGTTTACACATTATCTATATATAATATATACATACATATGTGTGTTTTATCTTTTATTCGCTAATTTATTCAGATCTTTAAAGTGTGATTAAACTCAAATGAGAAATCATATATTTACATACATAAAAACGTACCTATCTATATAAACCTACTGGCTTATTTATCTACTATTCGTATATTATTATGTGAATAGGTGTGGGCGTTTTTGAAGTGAAATTTAGCTCAAGGGCATTTTAGCCATTTAAGATTCCATGCTGACACATAGGATTTGTATGTAAAATATTTGTGTTCTTTGAAAATGACAAAATTTTAAACTAATTATACTTAAAAACAATAAATTAACTTGTTAATATTTATTATTGACATTTATAATGTTTGATCTATAAAATTATACTTATTACATATAAATTATTAAATTATCATATAACGTAACGGTTATATTAGATAAAAATATAAAATATAGGTCAACAAATTACCAAACAATTATTCTTTTTAAATTTATTAGCATTTTTTCCTCAAAAAATTTGGTTTTATTATAGTAACTCCTGAATCTATAATCCTAAAATAAAATATACAGCTGCTATACTCGTATAATCGTTTTCATATTATATATATTTACACTGCACATATTTTAATGTACAAATTTTGAAAAAAATAATGTTTTCTAATTAAATTTCCCATGTAAATTTCAAGTATGACCTTGGTTTTTTCCAAATATTTTTTTTTTCTTATAATGACTTTAAAATATTTGAAAAGCGGTTGTCAACCAACCGTTATTATTATATCTAGAACATCTTTATTTTTTTTATTTTTTAGAATTTGATTGAAAACATCAATAGACAATAGACATGAGTAGATGACACAACAAATTCTAAAATCAAATATAAAAACAGCGTAAGAAATTCTGTAAAAGCTTCATATCAAAAATATTATCATGATGTTGCTAATAAAATTATTAACAGTAGGTATTTAAGTATTTTTAAAATTACAGATCATTAACAAATTAAAATAATAAAATAGATTTTTTTTTCATCATTATTGATGCCTTTGTCGGCTTCATCTATTCAAAAACCATGACTACTGTGTACGGTTAGGTTATGTATTATCACTATTATCTATATATAGATACACGTGAATGTCGTAATTTGCTATAATATTATAATTCAAACGTAAATAATATGGATACGGAAACGAAATTCAATTTACATGGAAGTTATGAAGCGATTAAGGTCATTTGAAGACATTTTCAAACATTGTAATGCAAATATAATGACTGCCGGACGTTGCATGAAGAAATAAAAATAATAATAATAATAATAACATATATTTAGTACAACGTGGTTTGTTTACCCATTACTAATATATGTTCTCGTGCTAATTTTTTTGACAATTTAAAACCAATAATTTTTGAAAATTATTTTTCTTTTGGGTGACCGGTGTTTGACTAAATACTTTTTTAAATATTCTTCAAAGTATCTTTTTTATTGATTTTCTAATATTTCTTTGTAAACTATATTATTTGCGAGATTACCTATTTATTGTTTCTATGATATTTTCTGAACTCACACAGTAGCAACTAGCAAGGAACATATTATGTAGTTATCCTCATGCACTTCGTCGCTCATTAAAACTACGTCTCTTATATAGTTCAAATGTTGTTCAATCCGTTATTTATACTCCTTGTTCACGATGACTGCACAGTATTCCTTTTATACCTTTATTTACATATTTTCCGATTATTTAAAAAATTAACTTGATTGTTAATCAACTATTAAATCAGAATTGGGCTTAAAGCCTCCTCATTCGCCTCCGAACCCGAACACACAATGCTTTATTGTATTGTATTTCGGTTTAATTATGCCTAACAATTTACTGACAAATCGTTAAATTTTTAATAGATTTTTATTATAATTGTTTTAAAATTAACTGAAAAAATAATAGTTAATACAACATTGACAATGCTTTTAGCTGTATTAAGTTCAAATCTGCAATAGAAAAGTTTTACCATTTTTTATATTAAATCTAAATTTTATTTTTTTAAGACCTAGACAAACGGTGCCACTAATTTATTCACATTTTATCGCTTAATATGCCGTGGACGGAAGTTGAGTCTCCATTAAACTATGCTCATAATCTGCTCTATAGTGTGATCTTTCATTTAAAATAAACCACATGACGATCAAATGTGTGATTTCAGGAATCTTTGGCATGAAGATTCACACATGTATTATTTAAGAAAATATATCAATGTTAAAATTTCAAATTTTTTAAAATTGATTGCAGCACCATCTACCAGGCCAAGTTTGAATTTAAATCATACAGGAACCATAACCACATATAAAAAATTTCATCAAAATCGGTCCGGCCGTTAAAGAAGAATTCGGTGACGCACATGCGCAGAAAAATTGTACGTATAAAAATAATAGTTTTTTTTTATTATAAAATATTAAATTTGTTATTTTTTTACAATTATTTAATAATTTAATATTTATTAGCATAAAAATAACATCTATGTGGTTTTATATAGATAAACGATTAGTACAGGAATTAACACAATCAACTATTTTACTGTGTAAGACTTTACGTACATTATATATCATTTATCTACAATTTAGAAACTATCATATGTATATTTTTTACTTTCTAGGTACCTATCGTATAGGAACTTATGTTCTCCCTGCAATAAAGGATACGCGAACAACTTATAAGTTATAGATAGTATTTTTCGTCGTAATAGGTATTCATATGATAGAATAATAATTTAAGTCGACCGTGAAACTCAATAATAGATTTTGTAGAAACCACACAACTCATGAAACGAAACAGCTCAACACACCTATTAATGTTGCAAATATACGCTATACACACAGTTAATCGAAAGCAATAGTAATTGTTAGTGCACTTATAAACCGTTAAGGCTTTGATTTGCTGTAAAAACTCGAAGTGAAAATTAAGTTTTAAAAAAAAATGATGAATGGTTTTCTCTAGTAAATTCAATGCTAGTAATACACACACACATATCATATTATGTATAATATATTTATGGACGGCGACGAATATTTCAATATTTCTATTTATACTTACATTATACGAAACTATAAAAATTTAATTATTAAAATATAAAAATAAACTCTACGTATATGCATTTGTAAAAGAAAATATATAATAAATCCATTGATAACGATTCGAAATATTATTTTGACTAATTAATAGAACTGTTTTATATACACGTAGGAAATAATGATAAATGACAGAATACAAATTCTAGTTAAAAACTAAAATGTCAACGGATATTATAATTTATAATAGCTTAACGACTGTTCTGCAGCATTGCAGTATAATAATTGATATTATTGTATTTTAATTCACGAATATAAAAATTTCAACATAAAATAAATTATTATATTTCCATCATTAGGCTGAATAAAAATTAATTATTTCAAAACAAAGTGCATTATGTTATGTCCATACAATTTGAATATTAATACCAGTATTTAGGATGAAAATTAAGATGATAATATCCGAAAAATAGCTAGGTAAACAGTGTAATACTATATTAAGAATTAGAATTCTAATGTTTTCAACTGATTACATATCGGCAGCAATTTTTTTTTTTTTTAACCATTTATAGAAAAAAGGAAAATTGCCTATTCGTCTTTCATAAGGTACTATTTTAAATGTTTATAGCTAAAATTTCTGAACATAGTCTAATTTTTCCAAATTTGGGAACATAAGATATTATTTTAACTAGGCACCTCCTAAATTTGATTTTACTAAAGAATATTCTAAGTATCTAAGTTAAAGACGTTTTCACAATTTAAAAATATTTTCATTTTTTTTGTACACATAGTATTCTGTAGGTACTTACACAAATCTATTTGTCAAAAATAATAAATATTATAAACTACTAAGTAAATGTGAAAGGGCAAGTACGTACGCGGAACAAGGTCGACGACGGGGATTCGGGACAATCGCCTCGATTCGAACCGCCGCCGCATGGCCAATGAACCTCATCATAATCACCGAACGGACAGTGTTCCCACATGATCAAAAGGGGTAGTGATAACTGATTTCGTTCGTTCTTATCGTCTATCGCCGGTTACCTATCCTTGGAAACAAGGTAGGTATATACCGACGAGCCGACGAATAATTGCATTATTATTTAATAAACATTAAGTAATACCATTTATTGACTACTAATAGATTTATATCATAATGTCAAAAAGGTCTTAGATCTACGGACACTTGTATTTTACTGATAAATAAAATAACTCAAACTATTACTAAGAGAGCCAGTATGATAGTTTTTAAACCGTTTTTGCGTGTAATATAATGTTTTTAACTATTAACTATTAGGCCATTAAAGCAACGATCCGTTTCAAATATATTCGCGAATTACACACAGCAGTTTTCGAAGTATTGTATTTATTTACAACGCTTAAATATTTTATTGTATCTAATGCACTAAGAAAACAGCGAAAACGGTCTAGTGTATTATAAGTACCTACATAATGCATGTATTTATCTATTACAGTGCAATTATCCAGAATAATTCGATTAGAGCGTTAAAACATGACTTTTTATTTTAGTGTTTTGTACTTCTATACTATGATATATACTAGGTGCTTACATAAAAACCGATACTATATCGTACAAGACTTACGTATCCAAAATGTTAAAAATATATCTTGTAGGCCATTCCTTTCCCGTTGTTCGGATACTTTTCACGACGACCGAACGCTGGGACTGACCAATATCGAATTTGATGGTTCATCACCTATAATGACGTTAATGCCCGCGGCATGATGCTGGACTGTCGGAGATTATCGTGCGAAAACACATCTTTTGGTCAGGGAAATAGGACCAACTTAAAAGATCGCTCGTAAATCACGTAGTTTATTCGTTATGGTCGAGTGGATGGAGGATGATATCGAAAGGGTTGTAGAAGAGAATCACGGGGAATCGACGAGCAAACGATGGGCGACGAATAAACAACACGCACGGAAACCGGACGAACATGAACTGCGCGCCTGCAGTCTGCACTCTGCGATCCACACGCACCTGTTATGCGAACGCCCCGACCGAACGGCGTATCTTCTTCGCCGGTCGTCGGAGGGGATTGGTGTGGCGGCGAAGACCGACGACTGACAGACACGGTCGACGGTCGAATGTTTCGCACGAAAGTCGCGGCGGCGGTTACCGGTTATAATATTATTATAATCACAATCTCATCTATAGGTATGTTATATACGCGCGCACCTGTATATCCATTTGACGACAAGTGCAACAGGTTTATTTTTTTCTGTGTCCCAATATTTTGCTCCCGTCTTAAGGGTCGATCGTCGTACTACTTATCGCGAAGAATAGAATACGAGTCTACCGCTGTGACACGTGATGTGTATAAATGAGCGTTCGTGTTAATCTTCATATTAAAACCGTACAACTGTAAGACAAAGACCTGCAACATCTGTAAAAGTATATTATAACTTATAACTTATAAGTATGTACCATTGTAAAATAAACCTGTCGAGAAACTTGCGTAAAACACCTCCTCTTTAATAGTGTTTTAAATTTTTAAAATATTATGTTTTTTTTTTTATTAAAAATAGAAAATCATAATAAAACAAACTAACTAATTCATGTTTATGTTTAAAAATACAAAATAAACATATCAAATGTTTTCACAAATAAAGTGTCAACTGTTTTGCAACAAATTATGTTGTAAGTTATATTATATTTTATGAGGAAACTTAAAAAATAAAAATAAAAATCTCCATATTCTTGAGCTTAAATTAAAATGTAATAATTTTAATGATAACTCCAGTTCGGTAGTCAACTTCAACCGATATTACGATAATTAATTATTCTTATATTATCACCGTAGCGAACATGTGTGTTTTTAATAAAAATACCATTTTATTGACTACTGTTGTACATTTATAATTATAATTTATAATAATCTTATTTATTTTTTTGAAAACCATGCGTATGTTGTGATTTAATCGTAAAATCAAAAAAAAAGTATTTCATCAAAAGAAAAATAAATTGGTTTCAATCAATGTCATACATGTATGTGGTGTCACTGGTGTCATAGTACAGACGTACAGTTTGTATTAAGACAGTGCAAGACCCGTACCCCTTTCGTTGAACAAGGTGATGTCTTACAACTGACCAGACCCAGACGGCTAGACCCCTACATGCAGATCCGGCCTAAATATGCCACTGCAGGTCAGCGGCCGTAACCTATACATAATATATTTATTGGTGATTTAATTTTTTTTTAGTGCACCCGTAGGCTTGACTGGAGCAGCAGTGAGTAAAATACCGGTTTGTCCACAAATCCGGAACCGCATGATAAAGTCTCTCTTCCGCCTTCCCTAGTCTTCCACCATTTGTTTGATAGTCGATAATCCATATTACGTATAATATACATAGGTAGCACATACAAGGGTTAAGAAACAAATTTCATAAATAAGACAAAAATATAATCTAACGTTTGTGTATTTACAAATGTTTTCATCTTAAATATTTTTTCTGCTTTTTTTCATTTATCAATCTCAAAAATATAACATAATAAAATAAAATAATTATCATTATGAAGTGTTATGACTTATGAGTATATTGTGAGTGTACTGTATAACTAGTGTAAATAGGTTAGGTTATTCGACGCTCATTTTTGTGTTATGAACTATATTATAATTATATGTTATAAGCTTATAAGTTATACTCAGATACCCTTTCGCACACGAATTAAATCATATATGTCTTCTGTTTATTTCGACCAATACATAGGTAACATTTTAATATTATTATATAAATTCGTCCGACATATGTGAGTATAAATATACGTGAAATTAATGAGGATGAGCATTATTAATGAGTTTGAAGTAGGTACCTAATCATTTTCCTAACACTTTTAAAATATTGCCGTAATAGCTCATAATAGAATTGATAAAATTGATCACGAATTATCTTTTTCATCAAATGCAACACAAATAAGTTATTTTAGATATGTTTAAATTCTTTATTTCATAATATATTTTTGTGGTTTGTAGAAAATGTAATTTCTTAAATTTTAAATTAATTACATAACTGCTAAGTTATAAATTATAATATATAATGTAACATAATTTATAATAATGTATACTTATAATTAATTTTTGTATAATCCGATTATTATAGTAAAAGTATTTGACTATAGGAACTTACAGGTATAATATATGTATTATATTGTAGTAAAATATGTCAACTAGGTACCTATATAATATAATAATAGTGCATAGTCATTATTCATTAATTATATTTTGTCTGAATAACACAAGATGAAAATTTATTTAATAATTTTAGTTTTAACGATTAACATATTTAATCGTAACATTGTTATTAAAAGAATTTTTATTTGTTTACCGTGTTTAAACAATATTAAGTGGTGAGTGACATATAACATTTTCCATTGCTATGAACGCATATAAGTATAATAGCTAAGTAACTTGTAGTTTGTAAACGCATGGTACTTCATAAAATCTGAACACCTATCACCCATTAAATATAGGTATGGTACACATTAGTGGAATTATGACTTTCTATAAAACTGTTATTTTTTGAAAGTTATTGTTACATTTATTTTAGTATCTAATGTTGGGTGGCCGATGACTTGAAGTACTACTAATTATTGATACAATAATATTACGTAGGTTTTTCGACCTAGTCTATAATAGAAACAACAATTAAATTATTTTTAAAAATTAATAACCTTTACATAACTTTTAATAACGTGTAATATTGTAATTAGACAATTAGCGAGAGCATTTTACTTCTCTATACGTTTTGGGTGGTCTATGATGAAATTTCCAACTATTTAACAGGATATAATATTGTATACTCATTTTGATAGACAAATTATATTTGTTTAATTTGTCAAGTAGATATACTATTTGACAAATCTTTTTTAATATTAATTAATTGTATGTACAGAAATGTGTTTATTAATATTATTCTTGTATAAATAAACATGACGTTTTATAATTTTAATAATAACTATCGTTAATCAATGATGTAGTCCTAAAATAATGTATGGGTAAACTTCTAAGATACTGATAGAAAATAATATGAGGGCAAGAGGCGCTGCATTCCATAAATAATATTAAAAACATATTATGCTATTAAAAGATGAAAAACTATATAACTGAACATAAATACACTAAATACACATTTTTATTTTTTTATTTTTAATATTGCGTAAATTGTAAATTACAATATTAACCATAATTTATGTTTTGAGTCTTCAGTTATCGTGCTATTTTTTACATTTCATGACTTTTTGTCATCAGCATTTCTATGGGAAATTAACCAACTTTCAATAGTCTTTAGAAAAGGTACCTACTCGTTCCTTTCACTAAATCAGTGTAGTTAATATTTAATTATTTTAGGTATAAAGTAGCTATAAAGAATTTTTTCGTAAAAAATTAATTAACAATTCCCTACTATCTCCAATAATAATCCATTAAAGAGTAGTCGCATGTAGGCAATTATTTTTATTCAAATAATTACTGATTATGTAATCGTGATAATAATAATTTATAAAAATTAGATAAAATTGCTGTCTTCAAATTTAAAACTTAACCTATGGTAAATATTAGTGAACACGGTAAATCATAAATATTTAGTTATACGCTCGAAAAAAAAAGGATAAATGGACTTTCTTTTAAATATTTATAATTTTTGATTGATAATATAATTAATTTTAAATTTTAATCTATATTACTTATTACTCAGAAGAATACCTACAGAATAATATTGTTGATAAGTTACTGTATAGGTAGTATTCTAAATGTTTTACCAAATTTTAGTAATCTAGAGTCACAAATTACTATGATAAATCATCTATAATATTATAATACTATCTGTTACCCGCGTGCTCCGCTCCCGTGGATAGTTGTTTGCAAATTGTTAGGCTGTTTTGTGGCTCCACGAATCCTGTCAATCTATTTGCAACTTTTTTTATATATATGAAAAATAATTGAACTGTAGTATAAAACTGTTATATACATAATTGGAACATTTAAATACAATACACACCCTTTCATCTCCTCTAAACAAAAAAAATTTTAAATCTGGCGATGTGACAGCACACAAGAGTCAAGAAGGTGTTTGGAACAATTCTGTAAAAAAAAAATGGAAAAAAGATGAATTTACCTCACAGAGTGACCCCAAAAATTAGCTTTGTTTTTAAATTTTTCAAGAACTTAATACTTTTTTTTATTGACAAAAGTGGTACTAAAACCTTCAGCAGACTATCGGGTATAACAATAAAAAATTTGGTGACGATACGTTGAACGGTGTGGATTTTTATACATGACAAAAAATCGGGACTTGTTTTTATAATATAGACATAAAATGTGTATAAACATTATTATTATATCTACCATTATTAATATACTACCACCAACACTTAATAAACACCTACATGATGATGTGTACAGGACGTAAAACATTTAAATATAAAATGTAAATAAATCTTTAAGATGCAGAACCTCCAATTACGAAAGAAATAGTATTACTTATTTTTGGTGCAGTTATTTTTCTTAAATAAAGAGATTGATTAAAATGTATAATGTATATTGGACGATAAACTAATTTTTGTACCTAAGTTTTAAACTATCGATTGCAATGCTTTTTTTCCAGGTACAGCAATAGTAGACGAAACGTCGACATTGTTTTTCGGAAATAATTGTATGATATAGTATCGCAGCTCAAAACTCGAGCATACGCGCGGCCATCATTTGCATGGTACTTTTTACGAAGAGGATTCCTACAAACTTAAACAACTTTTTTAACATACTTAGTTAAGTGCTAATGCCAAAATATCGTCATTTTTCACTCAAAATCGACAACTTATCGTCATTCAAACACAGTTTAACGGACAGTAAATTTAACAATCTCTGAGAGTGGCCGCCACTAGTAAATCTTCAGTTAGTGCATTTAACGCCTTAAAATACGCACTGGTGAGACGACTTTTCAAGATCGACAAGAGGTTATGCTGCTGTTTTTGCTAATAATGAAAATAATAAACTGGTACCTACCGCAATATAATGACTAGGTAGTGAA